CTCTCTCCTGGCTCACCTTGCTGTATTTTGCTGTGTAAACTAATATTCTTTGACGTAATACGTAGCACTACAACCCCCAGTATCCCCCAGAAAGGTGTCGGGGAGCTCGGCTCAGCAGTCTCAGGGTAATAGGTAATCATGTGTGCACAGCGAAATAAATATACCGACATGAAATAAAGGGGCCGCCATTCCCCTCCTGATCTACCAGCATCAGCTCTGAGAGCTACTGCGAGATCCCCATCTACCTAACGGGCCCCCCTGCTGTAGTACATTCTGTCTCCCTTCAATTGCTATAAGTGGCATTTATTTGTAAATGTTGTGCTTATGTTGGGTACATTTTGGTATTCCCGCTCGTCTGCTCATGATGTCTCGCTCTTTCTTCCAGTGTTTAACGTGTGGGAAGACCTTTAAGAAGCTCTGGTCCTTACATGAACACAATAAAATTGTACACGGGTACGCAGAGAAGAAGTTCTCCTGTGACATCTGTGAAAAGAAATTCTACACGATGGCCCACGTCCGCAAGCACCTTGTCGGTGAGTATCGAGATAACAATCTCCTGTGGAAGCTCGTAGAGGCGCCGCGATGGACTCGTTCTGTCAGAGCTCTTCCAGATGCTCAAAGTGACTCTAACTTCAAGCAGCCAATCGGGTTGCTGTATTCTGCTGATGGCACTCATGCGATCTGTTGCTTTTGAAGCTTTGAAATGTTTTGATAGGTGGTTTAGAAAATGACATTTAGCTTCCTGCTTCAGTACTCCTTTCTAATGCAAGCAGTGGGGGCGGGCTCGTGGGCGGGGTTATGCAAATATAAAAATGCCTTGCTGGGCGCAGGTCAGCCTGGAAGACTGTGCGTTCCTAGGCAGACTGTATTTACACGCAGACCACCCTAGGTAACGTCCACATGTGATGCTGAGCCTCCATGATTGAAATAACTGAAATCCAGTGAATGAAAGGGGCGTGTCAGGGTCAGTCAGGCTGGGGAGGAAGTAGCTAGATGACGCTGGATGTCCTCCAGCCAGGAAATGAAGCGGACTTTATCTGTGTTGCGGCAGTTTCTAATGTAAATAATGAGAAGCTCGCAGTGTGCAGTGACATCAGAGGAAGCCATTTCAGTATAGGAGAGGAGCCGGTACCACCATGCAAGACTGAAGGGGAGGCCGGAGGTCAGTTAGAAGACTGAAGGGGAGGATGGAGGCAGGCCCGGCGCTAGCGCAAGGCAAGTAAGGCGGGCGATGTTTGCGCTATGTTTTTGTTTTTTTTTTACTTACCTTCGTAGGACGGAGGTCAGATAGAAGACTGAAGGGGAGGACGGAGGTCAGATAGAAGACTGAAGGGGAGGACGGAGGTCAGATAGAAGACTGAAGGGAAGGACGGAGGTCAGATTTACGTTCTTTTTCTATACGCTGTGCAGATTGAATTTGTCGTCTCTGTAGGAATGTTACGTTGACTCCTTGCTTTCTTTCTGCTCTGACAGCCCACACGAAGGACATGCCATTCACATGTGAAACGTGCGGAAAGTCTTTTAAACGCAGCATGTCACTGAAGGTCCATTCTCTGCAGCACTCCGGGGAGAAACCCTTCAAGTGTGAGGTGAGCGTTCAGAATTCACTCCAGCAGTATGTGTGAAGTCGGCGCAGAGCTTTCATTTCAAGGTACAAAAACCAAAATGCCTATAGGATCCATGCAGGTCCCCTTTTTCCCATGCCTTGTTCTGCACCATGTGGTTTCGGCCATCTTTGTAGGAGAGCAGGGCTTTGCTTCTTCATGCCAGAGCAGCCCTGCTGATGACTAGTGAACTGGTGACTGGGGGGTAATGATGATGAAGTAGCAGCGGGAGCGGTGGAAGAAGCACAGATTCACATAATGATTGAAGCAGGGAGATCCTTGCACTGCAGGTCCTCAGGTACAGCTTCCCCTCCAGCAAGGAGAACACTGAGCAGCACAGTAGTGACATCGCCCCGATCTGGTGACACCAGCAGGCAAAGGACGCAATGCCTTAGATCAGAGCTCAAAATTTCAAGTCCTGAGGTACTAGCCAGGCCTTAAAAGTTACCCGCCACCAGTTGCCCCACCTAACCCCAACCCGGCCCGGGCCTTAACTCCACCAGGTCAGCAGTGCAGAGGTCAGCAGTGCAGAGGTCAGCAGTGCAGAGGTCAGCAGTGCAGAGGTCAGCAGTGCAGAGGTCAGCTGCCTTAAAAGTTACCCGCCACCAGTTGCCCCACCTAACCCCAACCCGGCCCGGGCCTTAACTCCACCAGGTCAGCAGTGCAGAGGTCAGCAGTGCAGAGGTCAGCAGTGCAGAGGTCAGCAGTGCAGAGGTCAGCAGTGCAGAGGTCAGCAGTGCAGAGGTCAGCAGTGCAGAGGTCAGCAGTGCAGAGGTCAGCAGTGCAGAGGTCAGCAGACCTGAGGACTGATAAGTGGGAGAGGCTAGCATGCCCCCTCATAGCTGGGAGCATCAGATATTTTGCACTAGCCGAGGTGGAATAGTGATAATCGTGTACCTATCACACTCCTGACCGCTGCTCCATCAAGATAAAGTGGGTGCAACGGTAATCGACGTATGGCCACCGTCCCTGTGATACGAAGAATATGGATACCGGCACTCCAATGGTAGATGGAACACGCCGTCACGTAGGATCCCCTTCATCGGGCAGAACAAGTGAAGTTTTGTTGTCGCTCTGTTGTTCTTGTTCTGCCCGATGAAGGGGATCCTACGTGACGGCGAAACGTTGCACTAGTCGTGTAATGCTCTTGTTGCATGTAGGTCAATAAATAGACGTGTTCCATCTACCATTGGAGTGCCGGTATTCATATTCTTGGAGTAGAGATAAATCGGATTTCCAAGTAGCAATCTTTCAGGTTTACCAGACAAATCTAACTTCTTGCCCATGTACAGAGCTGAAGCGCTATAAATGAGTATACTGAGCTTTGGGTGACGGGAGGACGCTAGTTTGTGTTCTCCCGTGACCCTTAGAAGAACTATGGGGAAAAGCCCTGACCCCATAGTTCTCCTTTAAGTCAGAGGAGAGACTTCCTCCCTCTCTCTCCTTAGTCTGTTCGGCCACATTTATGGCTTTTTCACAGCAGGGAAAGCTCAGTTTGCACACACAGCTGATTAAAGGAGAACTATGAGGCGAGTGAAAAATCACTCATCCTCATAGTTCTAGCCGACGTGTGACAATGAGACTGTCACAGGTCGGCTCAGTAGATCGTGAAGTGAGCGAAAAACACACCGTCGCTCGCTCACTTGTCGATCTATCCCTGCAGAGAGCCGTGACTGTCACTCACGGTTCCCTGCAGGGATTTCCCCCCCCCTGTCCGATCCTCCAGCGCTGACTGGCGGAACGGACGGGGCAGGGGGCAGAGCCCGCTGTCAATCACGCAGCTGGGTGGATCTCGACAGCAATGTCGGGATCCGTCCCGGCTGCGGCGTCTCAGTATACCGCGAGCTGTAGCTCGCGGTATACTGAGCTTTGGGTGACGGGAGGACGCTAGTTTGTGTTCTCCCGTGACCCTTAGGAGAACTATGGGGAAAAGCCCTGACCCCATAGTTCTCCTTTAAGTCAGAGGAGAGACCTACCCCCTTCTCCTCCCTCTCTCTCCTTAGTCTGTTCGGCCACATTTATGGCCTATTCACAGCAGGGAATGTGCGTTAAGGTGCACAAAATGCCTGCGGCCTGGTCTTCGTTGTGCACATGCCTGCTGCTGTGTACTGTTATGTATGTCGTTTTTTCTGGATCTGCTCTGGGTATAGGGTTCTGTATAAGCAGCTTTTCACTTGATTTATTCTTTTTTTTTTTTTTCTATAGGTTGAGCTCAATAGACCTTCTTTTTTTTGTAACAGTGTATGTAAATTTTCCCTTTTTTGTTTCCCCCGACCAGAATTGTCATGAGCGATTTCAGTACAAGTACCAGTTGCGGTCACACATGAGCATACATATCGGTCACAAGCAGTTCATGTGTCAGTGGTGCGGGAAAGACTTCAACATGAAACAGTATTTTGATGAACATATGAAGACCCATACCGGTAAGGAAAGTAAGGAAATTCATTTAATATCGTTTTTTCCCCTTTCCCGTGACACTACCCCCCTCCCCCTTCCCTTAATCAATCCTCATTCCAGTGTCAGACCATCCCATGAGCCCCGACCCACATGGTTTACTGGACCACGCATCTTGGCCATTAAAGCTGAACTCTGGACATGAAACTTTATTTTAAATGTATTCCTTAATAGTAACAAAAGATTTAAATTATCTTTATGTGCACCAAATTACCCTGCACAAGGAGAGAGAGCAGCAGTGAGCGGTCTTTATTACAGGAGGGGGCGGAGACAAGACCAGTCACCCTGCACAAGAAGAGAGAGCAGCAGTGAGCGGTCTTTATTACAGGAGGGGGAGGAGACAAGACCAGACACCCTGTACAAGGAGAGCGCAGCAGTGAGTGGTCTTTATTACAGGAGGGGGCGGAGACAAGACCAGTCACCCTGCACAAGGAGACAGAGCAGCAGTGCACAGATCTGGAAGAAATACACAAAGCACAAGAAGAACACACAGGACTCTTGTAGGAGGACAATAGTTACTTATCCCGAAGTTCAGCTTTAAAGTAAACTTGGGGCAAAACCTTTTTGGTTAGAGCGGGGGAAAGGTTAGAACCTCTGTCATGTTTTATTCTGTCCATAGAGCAAAGTGAGGACACCTCTGCCCAGCAGGGACACAGACCATATTAAAAACGTTGGCACATGTTCTGACCTTTAACCCCATTATATCCAAAATTATAAAAAAATATTGTCTGGCGTTCTGGTTTAAAGATCTCACATGACCTCACAACAGTTGCCATTCCCAAAGCAGAGGCTTGCGCAGGTGGATTAGAGCTCTAGTGCTGCACCCAACCCGTCATCAGTCCGCTAATTCCTGCAACACACCTGACGACAAAAATCTGTATCCGTAGGCTGAATGAAGCTTAAAGTTGTCACTGTTCCCCCACATGGGCACATGGGCATGGCAATACACTGAACAATGCAAATTCACCTGACGCAGAGCGGATAGATACAAACCTGACTGTTCCCCTATCACATGACCAGTCACCTAAAAATGCGTGGAGAAAGCTATAGCTCTGAATGACAGAACCGTCAAATCCAAGGGAAGCCATGCGTAAATTGTATTGCAGCCCGAGTGCGCAGCCCGGTTTTTATTTACGCACCTGAGGATTTTGAACACGACATACGTCCTAAAAAACTTAAACAACATCATCTCTTAGGGCTTGTTCACACCAACTGCGGTTTACGCCCCCCCCCCCCATCTGCAGTGTGATCGGATGCGTGGCAAAACATTGCCTGCGTTCCATTCCACTGCAAAAGGCAAAAAATAGTCTGCCCTATTTTTTCTGTTTGAAGTGGAACGGAACGCAGACAATGCTTTGCAACGTGTCCGATGGCACTGTGGGCAGGGGTGTGTGGCTGCGGTGCCATTGACTTCAATGCACTGCCACGCCCCAGAACGTGGGGGGAGGGGGAGTTTTTTTGAGCGATTGCGGTGCTTTCCAGCAGCTACTGCTCTGGAATGCACCGCAGTTGGTGTGAACAAGCCCTTACGTCCTGCCGCTGCTATTACCATCAATTACCGCCTCTTAAAATGTAAAATTGACAGCCCGGAGTTATATTGCACAACAGGGCGCGGCTGTCAAAATTCAGCTCTGAAATGACACTTGTAGTCCACAAGTGTCACTGAGAAAATACAATGAATCAATGATTTGTTACATTGTATTTACGGTTTCAGTCCTAAGGTGTGACCTTCCATCTGTATATGACATCACTTATAGAACCCTGACAAGTTATTTTTAATAAAATGTATTCTTTTTTTAAACCCCTTATTAAAGTGACACCAAACTATGATTCAATAGCCTGAACTAATAACAACAATGTATCTTATTTGTATCACTCGGCTGTAGATCCTCCAATCACCTCTGAATTGGTGCTGACACTGTCCTTCCTTCTGGAAGGTGGCTACTTGTGTTCCCCATGGTCCCTGTGTGTGTTGTAAAGTAGTCACCGCTCCAAGCTCACTCCCGGGATGGACTACAATCTCAATACAAATTAGTAAACTAAACGTGAGATTGTAGTCCTTCCCGGGAGTGAGCTTGGAGCGGTGACTACTTTACAACACACACCGGGATCATGGGGAACAGACGTAGCCCCCCTCCAGAAGGAGGAACAGTGTCAGCACCAATTCAGAGATGATTGGAGGATCTACAGCCGAGTGTTACACAAATCAGATACATTGTTGTTCAGAGTTAAGGGACTTGAATGTATTTTTACGCCTCATTCAGGCGGCCATACATGTCCGTGTTGTGTACATGCCCATAAACAGGCCGGTTCCAGGAGGGACAGGTGCTGCGTGTTATTGCATGCAGCAGCCTGTTCTTCCCGTGTTGGTCCCAGTTGCCGCCCTTGGATGCCACACTGTCTGCGTCCAAGTGCGGACCCGCACACATGTGCCGTTCGACTGTGCGGATGACAGCATACAGCTGCGTCCCCCCATAGGGAAGAGCCAGTTGCTGCGCGCAACTACATGCAGCACCTGTCCCTCCCGGGATCGGCCGCGCATGGCCGTCTGAATGAGGCCTAAAGGTTTAACTACCTAGTTTAGTGTCACTTTAACACTTATTTAACCCTTACCAGCCCTAATAGACTGCATCCTCTTCCCCTTCCCCAGTCTACGCCGATAATTCTTAGGGGCGTAGACTGTCCTACAAAAGATTACCGTATTCATAGTCAGTTCTGATCTTTTTTGTACTGTTTTTAATTGGTCGATAAGCAGAGATTGGCCATGTCTGTTGCTCCATTTTATATGAATAAATCCTTTTTCTAAGAACAATGTCAAACCTTTGGTCTGTCCCGATCTTTAAATTAACCCTTGGACTCCCTATACTCTATAGGTAGCCCGAACCTTTTTTGTTTGACTTATGCTTTATATCGGTTATTGATCTGGTAAGACGGACCCATCTCCAAGGGTAAAACATTCAGAGCTACTGTATCTCCAGAAGTAAAACAATGCCATTCTTTTCTGCATCCTCTCCCTCCCCTCCCCTCCCCGCCCTTTAGGTATCATTTTTCTGGGTTCGTCATTTTATATTTTTTTGATCTTTACATTTTTTTTTCCCCCTTAATTTTATTCATTTTGTTTTAATTTTTCCGGCATTGCATAGAAACAAGAAAATGCGCATAATTCATTTACAAATAACTTTGATATGTTTTGTACCAGTAACATCATTTTTACAAAGGGTAAATTATAGAAAAAAATATAAAAATATCCTTTTTTTTTTTGTTTACAGTAAAACTGCTGGTTTTTTTTTAAACACTGGTCAAATCAATAAAAAAACAAATTTTCATTTTTTTTTTTTTGTCTATAGTACGGATCGCGACATTACTGTCCAGATCCGCCCAGCTGCGTGAGTGACAGCTGGCTCTGCCTATCTAGAGGCAGAGTCAGCTGTACCCTCCCCCGTCCGTTCCTCCACTCAGCGCTGGAGGATCGGAGCGGGAAGGGGGGGAATCCCTGCAGGGAGCCGTGAGTGACAGTTTCATTGTCGCACGTCGGCTCGAACTATGAGAATGATTTTCACTCACCTCATAGTTCTCCTTTAAATCTCATTGAACTCTGCTGAAAATAACTGTCAAGAAAAGAAGGATCCTTCTCCGGGTGTTTTTAGCTTTGCGAGTTGAGCTTTTTGTCCTAAAATAATGACAAAGTATCACAAAACAAACGTCAGAAATGTAGAACTTCCTCTGGTCCAAAAGGGGTGTACAGGTGTGTGCGGTGAACTGGTTGAGGTGACCCCTGCAATACTCATTCTGTGTCATGCCCACTGTGTCTACTTCCTCTCCTGTGTGTCCATCATTTTGGTAATATATTTGTCTCCAGCCCGGGTAAAGTTCATCCTGTAAGGGCCCAGTCACACCTCTGCTTCTAAATCCCACATCCCAAAGAACGTGTGTTACTTTTCATCCTGTTCCGAGATTTACACAGCTCTGTCGCACAGCCCTGCCTGGCAGAGCAGAAGACCTTTAACTTTTCTCTGCTTCAGTAACACTCGCATGTCTTGTCCCACCCTGTCCTTGCACCGCATAGTGCAAAGAGAAGCAGCAACCTGATGAGCTCTGTCACTCTGCTCACTCCTTTCATCAGCATGCTCCTTGTTGGCACTTGAGCAATACAGCACAGTGCATTGCCTTCCAGTGCTCCTTCTCCCGGTCTGAGCTCTGCTGTACAGGGACTGCAGGAGGCTGATGCCAAGTCGAATTTCGGATCCATACACTGCTTGCATTTAAAAATAGATGTCATAATTACAGAGCTGCATTATTTATGACTTTTATATCTGTTTTAGGCTTCCCTCATTGGTTAGTAAGACCAGCCTATCACTTTAGGGGCCAATAGAGAAAAGCAGAGGGTCACACGACCAAGTGACGATTATCATAGAGTTACATTCAGTCTTCCCTAAAGGTATCCTCGGCTTATGTATGTTTGTATTATTGCTCCGATCGCCTCACCGGGGGTTGTCACAGGTTTACTGTCGTGTGACGGAAATCTTTGTGATATGCTGTAAGTCTTTGTGTGACAAGACAGTCACTGACGCACTTCTGTAAATGCCCATCATCTGGCTTGCATGCTAATCCTCTGCCGTCACTGCTTAGCCGTTGACTTACAATCGGCAGGAAGTTCTGACTTCCTCGTCTACATACTGCATTTTAGGTCCGAGTCCTGCCAAGTAACGAAGCGATCGAATCTGCCAGGTAAACTAAAAAATTTCAGAATGGGGTGAACTGCACGCGGCTGAACACCGACGCGTTTTGCTGATGTAACCTATTCATGAGCTGATGACTCTGCATCTGCAAAACGCGCATTATGCTGTCTCTGCTTTTTAACTGAATCCACGTGTGTTCATCTAATTCTGGAAGACATATCACAGCAAAACGTAGAACTTTGCAGGGACTCCAGAGTGGAAGTGAGCCGATCTCGCTCACAGTATTCAGAGGGGGCTGGAAATGGTCACTTTGGGTGTTCCTGCTTGCTGTAAATACATTTTTGATGCAGCTAGATGAATCTGAATTTGAAGCACCGCACCATGGGTTGGTAGTATATAAATATATATATATATTCACTGACTGGCCACCTTGCTAGTACCGGGTTGGACCCGTTTTGTCTTCAGAACTTCCTTAATTCTTCCTGGCATAGATTCAACAAGGTGCTGGAGACATTCCTTGGAGAGTTTGGTCCATATTGACATGATGGCATGACGCAGTTGCTGGAGATTTGTTGGCCGCACATCCATGATGCCAATTTCCCGTTCCATCACATCCCAAAGGTGCTCTAATAGACGGAGATCTGGTGACTGCAGAGGCCATTGGAGTACAGTGACCTCATTGTCATGTTCAAGAAACCAGTATGAGATGATTTTAGCTTTGTGACACGGAGCGTTATCCGGCTGGAAGTAGAAGATGGGTACACTGTGGTCATGAAGGGATGGACATGGTTAGCAACAATACTCGGGTAGGCCCTGGCGTTTAAATGATGCTCCTTTGGTACTATGGGGCCCAAAGTGTGCCAAGAAAATATCCCCCACACCATTACACCCCCACCACCAGCCTGAACCGTTCATACAGGATGGATCCATGCTTTCATGTTGGTTATGCCAAATTATGACCCGACCCTCCGAATGTTGCACCAGAAATCGAGACTCCTCAAGCCAGGCAACATTTCTCCAATCTGTTATAGTCCAGTTTTGGTGAGCCTGTGCAAACTGTAGCAGTTCCCTGTTCTTAGCAGGCAGGAGTGGCACCCGGTGTGGTCTTCTGCTGCCGTTGCCAATCTGATTCAAGGTTGGATGTGTTGTGTTTTCAGTTTCAAGGTTGGATGTGTTGTGTTCTTCTGCATACCTCGGATGTAACGAGGGGTCATTAGAGTTACTGATGTCTTTCTATCATCTCGAACCAGTCTGCCCATTTTCCTCTGACGTCAATAAGGCATTCTTGCCCAGAGAGCTGCCACTCACTGGACATTTCCTCTTTTTCGGACCATTCTCTGTAAACCCGAGAAATGGTTGTGCGTGAAAATCTCAGTAGATCAGCAGTTTCTACTAAGAAAGTTTCTCTCAGCAGTTTCTACTAATACTCAGACCAGCCCATCTCGCACCAACAACCACGCCACATTCAAAGTCTTTTAAATCAGCTTTCTTCCCCATTCTGATGTTTGGTTTGGACTTCAGCAGACCAACTTGACCACGTCTAGATGCCTAAATGTATTGACTTCCTGCCATGTGATTGGCTGATTAGATATTTGTGTTACCAAGCAATTACCTAATAAAATGGCCGGTGAGCGTAGATTTTTCCAATGTAAGATCAAGTACAAGAATATTTGAGCGAGCCAACTCATTTTGTTGCCTTCATCAGGGCTTCAAAGGATACAGTGTATACAGACTGGAATAAAGATACAATGTATGTGATATTTTAACCAAATGAAGTGACGTCAGCAGCTCATTGGCGCAGCTTTGACTCTTTCATATATCTTACATTGGAATAAATCTATATCTGGACTATTGACCCGTGGTGTGGTCCTTCAATCACATCGGCTTAGTTGCATCACAAACCAAGAGATCTTTAGGTGCGTGGAAACCGCCGGCCCAGAATCCAGACACCTTGTTAAGGCAACACTAATGGATAGAAACACCAACAGGACAACCTTAGGGTTCCATTGCTACTTATCCATTCCATAAAGACATTTTTGGAAGCTATGAAGAAAATAAGAACGACTCCTCAAAGGTTTAGGAGGACGAGAATTTATGTCATTATAGAAGTCCAGCGGACACAGCTTCAAAACGGAATACAAATCTAAAAAAAATAATATAAATTGATATTTTTTTGAAGGGAACGTCCACCTTTATGAAGTGTGACCATGTTCCATGTGTTACACGCTCGTAAACTTGGCCTTTAACCCTGATGGAGAGGGAATGCTGTAGCCCCTGAGACTTGTTGGGTTTGTTCTATTTGGACTTCTATGATGAAATAAATACCATTGGGCTCCTACTACTTTTGTGTGGCTCTCTTGCACTTTCTTTGTTCTCCATAACTGCCTCTGAGGCCCAATTAAGTTTGTTCTAAAGAGGAAACAAAAAGGAGGAAGAAGCGCAACGACTTAGCGCAGAAAAAAGATGGTAGAGCGGAGGGGTGAAGAATGGGTGAGATGATTGTACTCGCATGTAATCAGGTGGGTCTGGGAGTTGTGGGTCTCTTTTGAGGTGGTGCGAAGCTTGATATGTCGAACTTCAGGTGGGGACTTCCAATACGGTGACGTGGAGATCAACAGTTTGTTAGCTACGTAACTGGAGTCAGACTCTACAGTATGAATTTTTATGTTCGCACTAAGAAGCAGAAACTGGATCAAGCTCCTCCTCTCCACACTTTATTAAATAGTGACAATTATGGCTTAAAGGGAACCTGTGGTGTGGGCATGCAGGAACTGCTTTCCTCTTCTTCTGGCACATACATTTGTTCCTTTGCTGACCGAAAGGAGACCTTGTGTACGGTCCATGTGGCAGGTGGAGCGTACACAGGGCTGAGGGCTCTCTCCACGCCGCCATGTGACAATGCTGGGTACCTGAGTGGCCAAGCACCATCATGGTCACGTGGCATGAAGAGGATTGAGTCAAATGCTCCCCCATACCTGGAAGTACCCGGAGGCTGAGCAGAGTGGTTGGGGAATATGGAGAATGTGTTTATAGGCTGCCGCAGGGGTGGCATTACATGGTACTTGTTGCTTTGTCCGGTATCGGCAAAACAGAGGTTCATTTTAAAGTGAATCTGGAGGTTTTATTCTGCATTTGTTTTTGATGTTTTTGTTCTCCCCACCTTAACACGTGGCTTTATTTCATACTGGAATACGTGTTGACCTTGCTCCTCTTTATGTTGCAGGAGAGAAACCCTTTATCTGTGAAATCTGCGGCAAGAGCTTCACCAGCCGACCGAACATGAAGCGCCACCGCCGCACCCACACCGGCGAGAAACCTTACCCCTGCAACGTGTGCGGCCAGCGCTTCCGTTTCTCCAACATGCTGAAGGCCCACAGGGAAAAGTGCTTCCAGGGAGGCAACCCTCCGACCCCCGGCAGCCCGGGGACAGTGGCCAGCCTCTCCGCCTCCTCACAGAGCGGCAACTCGCCGGCCCAGTCGAGCCCGGGCCTCTCCCCGACCTTGCCGCAGCACCCCCTCTCCCTGCCCCTGCTCCACTCGCTCCCCAGCATGCCTCCCCCGTCACATCACCTCCCGCCACCACCCCCGCTCTTCCCCGCCGGCCGCATAAACAATAACTAGACCAATCCGGGAAGCGGCCTGACCAATCTGTAGTTCTCCTCAAGGCAAGACTGTGGCACCGCGGACGTCTTGGGGTTTTTGTTTTTTTTAGTCTCTCGGCTTCCTTCTTCCGTCAGACGGAGTCCGGTTGCGACGGCGAGAGGGGAAGCCATCTTGTTGACACTCTCTTTAGCGCTCATGTTTGCACACGGCGTACCCTCAGCATTGATATAGCAGGGCGTGTGAGGCCTGCAAGCCTGTCCCTATTTGCTACTGTGCTTTTTTTAATTTTGTTTTTATTCCCTATTTTAATACGGTCAGTCCTTCATATCATCGGCTCTTGTTTTGTTCTTCACGTCTAACCCCCGAGTGTTCTACAGAAAAGGTCGCACCTTGGTTCGGCGTCGCTCAGGCCCGGGAGAAGCGGAATCAGAAGCTGGTTTTAGTTTTTCTCCTGTTTTTGGTCTGGAGCGATCATGCAAACGAGGAACAGCGAAGGTCAGCTGTCCCTGTTGATGGAAGAGGAATCCTCGCAGACGGCAGATGCCCGCGCTCAAGAGGAGCTGGAAGTGTCCCGGGCATAGTTGCTAAGCAACCGTGGCTAATCTCTGCGCCCGTGACCGAATCACCTTCCCAGTACGGAGATAGGAATGTGGAGACCAGGAATCCGGATCGTCTCTTTCCTTCACGCCGTGCGTTTAATACAACGCTGGTCTTGGCACCCCAGCTATTGCTTCCTGGAAGTAATACCCCCCCTACCACCACCACCACCATCCCTACCACCCTTCCCTCCAAGACATTCTGTCCTCAACATTTAATCATGGCTGCAATGCAAGGAATTGTATCCCGTTACCAGTTAATGACAACAAAGATCATTTGACTTGTTTTTGTTATTTTTACCTTTTGTGTTATATCTGTGTCGTGTTGAAGCTTTATGCTTTTCTGTTCTCATGTCTTGGCTCTGGTGCATCTGTTACTGGAGGAAGAATGACTGCGGTAGAAAAAGGGGGCGATGCAGCGTTTTCAAGAACCGGTTGCAGTTGGGAGGGGTGTCATGCAAATCTCTCAATATTTTGGCTTAAGAAAGAGCCCCAGCAAATGTATTATTAACCCTTGCAGTGGGGCTACCGCAACACTGCAAGGGTTAAGTGCTCGTTTGTGTCTAGGTGCTAAAATAACACCCGAAGCTTCAAGCCCGGCCAGCTGTCACAGTGCTCCCACTCCCTGCAGCATTGGATTCTTCCTCAGCGTCCTCATGTCTATACATTCGCGGTAAAAAAACGCGCGACAAACGCGCATTTCCGAGGGCTACCTGGCTGTATCCCAATGGATACATTGCTCCTGTATGGATATATGGATATAGCTCCTGTACTTCTTTGGGCGTAGGGCGTTTTGCAGCGCGTTCCGATGGGACAGGTGGGAACCATGCCAATAGGCAATCATTGGTTTTCACATGTTGAGCGTTTTACAGAGCGTAGGAACGCGCTGTAAAACGCCCAGGTGTGAACCAGGCCTAACTTGAAGGTGGAGGCTGTGATCCCTGACTCTCGAGCTGAAGACTGAGTATAGCTAAATATCTGGGCGATTTCTAAATGTTTCAGAGGTAACCCTAACGTCTCGTTCACACCTAGGCGTATTGCATATGCGCGTCTGTCGCGCGTTTTTTACCGCGAACGCGCTACAAAACGTTCAGGTGTGAACGTTTTGTACCGCGAACGCGCTACAAAACGTTCAGGTGTGAACGAGGGCTAACCCATAATTAGAATTTAGTATTCAAGTATGAACCCATCATGAGCAGTACTTATAAGGACAACCCCAAAAACTTTACATGCCCCGTATGCTGTGTAATCTGGAGCGTATGCACCTATGGGTGCAGATATGCACATGCTTTGCACATATCTGCCGCATTGGAGGCTGCAGGGGACATGATGTGATCAGAGAGTACCACGTGACGGCCCGACTGCTTAACCCGTGTTCCCTTATTTGCATAGACCGCATAAGATTTCCTAAACTCCTCCCAGGGCAGGGGGTGGCTTTAAGGATCTTCTGTCTCTGGCGGCAAACACAACACAGACAACCTGAAGCCGGCTTGTAACATTTTGGGGATGCTTGTCAACGTTGCTCCCGCACAGACTAAATCAGAGGTAGGCAACCTTGGCACGCCAACGACAAATCCCATCGTGCCTCTGCTTCCCGGGAGCCATGCATATGGCCGTCAGTCTTTCAGTATCTCATGGGACTTTGTGTCCCTTAACAGCTGGAGTGCAAAGGTTGCCTACCCCCCCCGGACTAGATAGTGGGAGAAATGTGCGGGCTTGGTTACAATTCCAAGTGTTTTTTTCCAGCCTACAGTCATGGCCAAAAATATTGGCACCCCTGCATTTCTGTCAGATAACGCACAGAAAATTGCTGCGATTAAAAATGTTTCGGCATTCTCATGTTTATTTATTTTGTTTGTATGGGTGACACAAAAAAAGTGGAGGAAAAAAAGCCAAATCTGGACAAAATTATTGGCACCCTCCATTAATATTTGGTAGCCCAGCCATTGGAAAAAATTACTGAAATCAATGGCTTCCTGTTACCATCAATGAGTTTCTTACACCTCTCTGCAGGGATTTTGGACCACTCTTTCGCCAACTGCTCCGGGTCTCTCAGATTGGAAGGTTCCTTTTTGCTGTTTTGAGATCTCTCCACAGGAGCTCTACGGGATTCAGATCTGGACTCATTGCTGGCCAGTCCAGTACTCTCCAGCGCTTTGTCTGAAACCATTTCTGGGTGCTTTGGGTCATTGTCCTGCTGTAAGACCCATGACCTCTGACAGAGACCCAACTTTCTGACACTGGGCCCTACATTGCACCCCAGAATTCTTTGGTAGTCTTCAGATTTCATAATGCCATGCATGCAGTCAAGACCTCCAGCGCCTGAAGCAGCAAAGCAACCCCAAAACATCAGTGACCCCCCCCCACCATGTGTGACTGTAGGGACTGGATTTTTCTCTTTAAAGGCCTCATTTCTTTTTCTGAAAACAGTAGAATGTTGGGCTGCACCACAAAGCTGCCATTTTGTGTCATACCAATACCAACAAAAGAAATAAACATGAGAATGCCGAAACATTTGTAATTGCAGCAATTTTCTGCACAAAGTGCTGCATTGTCTGACAGAAATGCAGGGGTGCCAATATTTGTGGCCATGACTGTTTAAGCTGAGAAAACTGCCTGTTATCAGAGGCTGGATAGGCCCTTTACACATGGACATGTTAGTCTAAAGAGTGTTTGATAAGCTTTAAAAAAAAAAAAGTATGCATAACTGAGCATAATAATTATTGGCACAATGTAATATCCTGCCATTTAAAGCACCTTTACAGCTCCAGTCTGCTGAGTGAGGGCTGCAGCTTTTAGCAGGCCAGTAGGACCTGTATTCCACATTTTCAGGCTGCAGCTAAAGGGTGCTTTGAGGTCTTCAAGGAAGCAGCTTAAAGCTTGTTAAATGCTTTGCACGTGCTTGATGAAGTTGTTGCTCTTTAGACAAGAGTTTATAATTTAAAGGAGAACTATGGGGTTAAGGCTTTTCCCCATAGTTCTCCTTAGGGTAACGGGAGGACACAAACTAGCGTCCTCCCGTCACCCTAGGCTCAGTATACCGTGAGCTGTAGCTCGCGGTATACTGAGACGCCGCAGCTGAAGCGAATGCCGACAATTGTGCCAGGATCCGCCCTGCTGCGTGACTAACAGCTGGCTCTGCCTCTAGATGTACCCGCCCCCTCCCCTGTCCGTTCCGCCAGTCAGCGCTGGCGGATCGGAGCGGGGAGGGGGGAATCCAGCCCCTCCCCTGTCACGTCAGAGAGCCGTGACAGGATCGAGAGGTGAGGGAACGCCGGTATGTGTTCGCTCACCTCCCGATCTACTGAGCCGACCTGTGACAGCCTCATTGTCACAGGTCGGCTAGAACTATGAGGTGAGTGAAAAGCACTCACCTCATAGTTCTCCTTTAAGGTAAAGCCCAACTTCTGCCAGAACATTGTTTTTTGGATAGAGCAAGGAAGAGTTCCTATCTGGACAGGAAGTGTTGTATCATCTAGTTCTTATACAGGTGTCACAGCTACAGCAAGTGAAAGACGATCTCCCTCATGAGTTCCCAGACAGATCTTAAAAACAAGGGAAACCTCAACCGGAGCACCGGGACAACCGATGAAAGGGTCCAAATTGCTTTAATAGTTGAAAGTAAATCTACATGAAGCAGCCAACAGGTTTTCGGGGGCCAAAACAAACCACCCTTTACCAGGGCCACAAAAGATATGGCAAAGATAGATCTATTGTAGTCCAAACGAAGCCGGGGGGGGGGGGGGGGGGTTGTTTTGTCCATGAAAACACGTTGGCTGTTTTATGTGTTCATACATTATACATACTTCATACAACCTTTTAAAGGCATTAACAAATTGAAAAAATTGCGTGTGCTACATTTCTGCATTGATGACTGCAAAGCATGGCAACTCTGATCAGTGCATGGCGGGTGCAGTGCTCGGGCTCTTACATAGTTTACATGCCAGCCCCCGGGTCCGGCTGGAGCAAGTAAACAATGTACTACAAGTTCCCTGGCAACACCAGACTTGTGGTGGTGCATTCTGTGAGGGCCTCTGCCTTGGTGGCCTATGGGTCTTCTGCTCCTTCCGTTCCCAGTTCCCCCCAGTGCATGGATGACACGGCTAAACACACCGCCTGGCCAGAAAACAATCAACATATCATTGGACTGCATTGACCATTCGCCATGGCATCATTTCTATAAGCTTATGCAATGCCACAGCATTTATTTCCATCCTGAGTTGCACTACTTTTTCACCAAGATCTTGTGATGATGATGGGGGAGTCAGACCACCTCATAAAGTCTTCTCCAGCACAAAGATTCTCAATGGGGTTAAGGGCTGGACTCTGTGGTGGCCAACCCATGTGTGAAAATTTCTGATGCTCCCTGAACCATTCTTTCACAATGTGAGCCCCATGAATCCTGCCATTGTCATCTATGCCCAATGTGCCATTAGGGAATAAAAAAATCCATTGATGGAAAAACCTGGTCAGTCAGTATTTTCAGGGAGGGGGGGGGGGGGGGGTTTTTTTTTGAGCAACTGACTCAACCC